CTTCTCTCTCTCTCTCTCTCTCTCTCTCTCTATTTTCTTCTCTCTCTCTCTCTCTCTCTCTCTCTCTCTCTTTCTCTCTCTCTCTGTTCCTCCGTCTCTCTTGCTCTCTCGTCCGCTCTCCGTTTCTCTCTCTACAGTTTTTTTTGCCAACAGTGTACCCAGCGACTCCTCCTGTGGCTTCTTCCTTCTTCATCTTCTTTGCATAGTATGGCCTATAGATCGACATAACGGAGTACCTTACGTTGCGTCCGCAAAGAAATACCCAGGTTTTTGACTGTCACTGGCTCCAAAATGTAACGTTGAATTAAGAGTTCATGTAGAAATGATGAAGTAGAAATCCAATCTTGTGTCTTGAACTGCATAAACTTTAATATCTGCTCACGTCACATCTCCTTGCACACAGGGACAAAGCAACGCGCACACGCGCGTAAGCACGTGCGCTTAATCTCGCGACCACAACCAGACTTCTCTTCCTACATCTCCGTCCCTTCTTCAATCTCTCCTAACCTCCTATATATTACCCCCAAAACCCCTACTTCCTGAGCGCACATGTCACCCGTTCTCCCAGACCGCGTCATAGGCCCATTTTACAATGACCCTAGAAACGCCCGACCTAAAACACGTTTACTATTCTCTCTATAACATCAATCTAGCCGCACAAGATGCGCGACGCTCTGTCTACATAGACTACCACTAAAAGCAACCCCTAGTCTAGCTCCGCTGACTAATTCATGCAACATTTGTAAAACATATGTTACAGGATTTGACAAGGACACGTCAGCTTGTCAACTTCACGCTTCTTGACAACGTCACACTTGACACTCTGAACTTGTCACTTCTTTTGACCTTAATTATTACTCAATTTGACTTTGTCTAACCTTTTGACATTGTCGCACTCGTTGATCATTTTGAAAAATGTCAGTGTATAGGTAACAGAATATAGTATCGTACAAGTAATAGAAGATAATAGAGCACAAATAATAAAAATGTTACAAGGAACAGAATATATAGTATATATAGTACATAATATATGACATTGTTAATGATCAAAGTGTGGCATGATCGAAAGGCGTGTCGATCACGATCAAAAGATGCCAAATGATAAAATAGAGACATGATCTTATTTGTACTATACTATCTTCTATTACTTGTACTATACTATATTCTTTGCTATACTCTACTATATATACTATACTCTATATACTTTCTATCTTCTATACTCTATTACTTGTACTCTACCATTTTTATCATTTGTACTTATATAATATTTTATTACTTGAACTATACTATTTCCTATTACTTCTACTATACTATTATCTTCATAATTTTCCAGACTTTCTGAGAAAGCACACCTGCTCACTAAACTCTTAGACACTCTTAGACAACAGTAGTGCGGCAAATGAAACCGTGCCCGAGCGAAGAAACAATCAATCTACGTCGGCACAGAATGCTGCCGTCTCCACGCAGCTCGGGGATGGATAGCGCATTGAAGGGTCGTCGTCGGCAGCAAGTGTCGGCGCCGACGTCACCAGCTCTCGTGCGCAAGCGACGACGTCTGCTGAAGACGTGCGTCCGCGCGGCGATGCTCCTCGTCCTCCTCGTGGGGGCGCTAGCATCGGCCGCGAGGAGGCGCTCCAGGGAGGAGGCAGGAGGCGCTCCAGAGGGCTTCCTCTCCAGGACGCTGCTCAGCGGGGGAGGTGCGATGTCGGAGCGCGGAGACGCCGGGGAGGCGGTCCGTAACGGCTCCTCCGATGGATGGGTGGCGGCAACGACGACACACGACGAAGATACTGTAGAGGAGGTATGTATAGGAGGTAGAGGAGGTGGAGGAGTCAGAGGTGGAAGAGGAGGCAGAGGAGGTGGAGGAGGCAGAGGTGGTGGGGAAGGTATGTAGGAGGCAGAGGTGGTCGAGGAGGCAGAGGTGGTGTGGGAGGTATGTAGGAGGGACATATAGGAGCCAGGAGAGGCAATATTTAGAATATTAGAGAGGGAATTAGCAGAAGGCCATTGCCAGATATTTGACTGCGAATGTCCTTTGGTTCATTAAGCACCCTCAATCAATTCCCTACTGCGTCGTCACAAGGTGTTTTCCTGCTCGGCGTAAAGAGTTTCTACTTGTCTCCTATCCAGATTTCACGAGTGTCTTCCCTGTTGGGCACACGCCCACTATAATTGGTATATACTTATCTCTACCTGTTAGGTAGAACCCTGTAAGTTCTCCCTCATGTGGGATAGAAGGATACTGGGCCCTATTCACATTTCACAAGTGTATAGTCTATGAGGGCGATAAGTACTTATTATTGCTTCCTTATTCACATGTCACAAGGGTCTAGCGTTTCTTATTTGCTACAAGCAGGCAACCGATTGCGATTGGGGGGCTAGTGACCCTGTCTACCTCTCTCACGATACTTTCCTCTTAATAACGCTGATAGGGTCTATGTCCCCCATGGTACTGCCGGAACGTACCCTGGGTACGGTCCGGTATACCAGAACGTACCCTGGTACTAAATACTACTATCTAATACCTCGCCTACTCCACTAACGAGTCTAGGGAGTCGCCTACGCCTACTCCCTAACCCTAACCCTAACTCTAACCCTAACCCTAACCCTAACACTAACCCTAACCCTAACCATATCAGCTAGATACAGGCCCGTAGCCAGGGGGGGTTCGGGGGGTTCGAACGAACCCCCCCGAGCCCGTCCCCCCCAGCGACCTGAGGTGAAATTCTTGCAAATTTTCAAATTATTATTTTTTGCTTGGGGTCCATTTTAGTGTAATAATTGCAAATTCTCCATCGTGCGGGAGGGTGAACAGTGAACACGCCCCCTCCCACACCTTCCCCCCGCTCGGTCGCTTGGCTCCCTCGCCTGGTCGCTTCGCGCCCGAGCAGGGGCGTGTTTTGGGGGGGGGTCCAGGAAGTCCGGACCCCCCCTTGTTCGCGCAGAAAACGCATCTGAGGGGGTCTAATTTTAAAAAATTTCTGGGGGAGGGCCCCCCAGGCCCCCCCTTCGCGTGCTCGCAACTTTGGGTTACGGTTAGACCCCCCCCCCCCCGGGTCCAAATCCTGTACACGCCCCTGCCGAGCAAATTGCCAACATTGAAAACGAACCCCCCCCAATAGAAAGCTGGCTACGGGCCTGCGATATGTATGCATGGATGTATATATGTATAGATATGTATCAAGGGTTAATAAGGACAACGTTTCATTTTCACAAGTTGTCATTATTAACCCTTGATATGTATCAGGATTAGATAATAGGGAACTATATCCCTATTATCTACTTCTATTCTAGATTCCCTATTATCTACTTCTGATATGTATGGATGTATGAGTGGGTAACGATAGTATTGAAGGGTTTATTGACTACGCCCACATTACGTTTTCAAATCTACTTGTTTTTAAATACAATTTCAATTTTTTTTTTCTCAAACAGTACCTAATTGACCTGAATGTAGCTACTTAGGTCACGGAAAATTTGACGCAAAAAAGAATACAAATATTTATTGCAAATGTTGTTTATTAACTAACGCTAAGTTGCAATCGCTTCAAAATGGTTCTATATGATAAATATGTATTACACGGTTAAAGATATCGAAACACTACGCAGAAGACGAGATCATATATCCATATGGCTTGAATTTGTTTTGTTGGAAATAATTATGTATTTACACACAGTACAAGCAGAACAGCAAATCAAACTGCCACCCCGATGTAATGTGGTCAATAATATAGCTAATACACATGCAAGTACATGCGCTCGCAAGCACGTACATACGTAAACACACGCACACACACACGCGGTTGAATTATTTTACCGCGGTTAAATTATGTGTAACAAGGCCTCTGATTGGATAAAAGGTCCATAATTTAGCCGCGGTCGAATTATTTTTACTGCAATAAAAATAATTTATCCACTGTTAAATTATGTGTAACACGACTTCTGATTGGATATAATACCAATAATTTTCCGTGGTTAAATTATTTCAACAGCGGTAAAAATTATTATGTCTGAGTAGGCCTACGGCGGTAAAATGATTGCCCTTTTACCAAATCACAGGCCTTATTATACAAAATTTAACCGCAGTTGAATTATTTTACCGCGGTTAAATTGTGTGTAACAGGGCCTCTGCTTAGGTAAAAGGCCCATAATTTAACCGCGGTTAAATTATTTATACCGCGGTAAAATTAATTTATCCGCGGTTAAATTATGTGTAACACGACCTCTGATTGGGTAAAATTAAATACCAATAAATTTACCGCGGTTAAATTATTTCAACAGCGGTAAAACTAACTGTCTGTGTCTGTTTGTCTGTCTGTTTGTCTGTCTGTCTGTCTCTCTCTCTCTCTCTCTCTCTCTCTCGCACGCGCTCTCTCTCTCTCTTTCTATCTTACTCTCTATCTCGTGTGTGTGATGGTGTGTGTGGTGTGTGTGTGTGTGTGTGTGTGTTGTGTGTGTGTGTGGGCGCGCCGCCCGGCTGCCCGTGCGTGCGGCGTGGCGTTGCGTCGGTGCGTGCGTCCGCTGCGGTCGTGCGTCTGCGGTCGTCGTCGCGTGCGTGGGTGACGTGTCGTGCGTGCCGTGTGTGTGTGTGTGTGTGGCGCGCTGCTGTGCTTATGTATTATATATAGCGTAATATAGCGTAACATGTGCATTCTTAATTCCACTCAACACATGCCACACCACACCAAGCAATAACATCTTATGCGTAATAGGTCGGCGTCAACTGATATAGATGATAGTTTATTAAATAAAATTTCAGTCAGCATAGTAAATCACCAGACATGATAATATCCACATCACTATACAGTATTTATAAACAGACCCACAGTAAATTCCATATCACAAAATCTTTTTACACAAAATTAAACTGTTGTAAATTATACAATTGGTATAATTTCTTTCATTTCGTTATTGTCCGCCGTTAATACTATACTATTTTTGCCATTCTGGACGATGTGAAACAAACAATTGAGAAATTTCGAACCGTGGAGCCTATAAATTTTTGCAGGATCGCTAACGACTTAGGTTTCAGCTATTTATACGCATCGTATAGAAACAACACGTATAGATCTAATTTGCTAATTATGTGGTCCATTATTTATCATCAGAAATGTCTTTTAACGGGACAAGCATCATGCGCCCAATTCCGTGTAGACGTACAGTGGCTACTGCATGCTAAAACAATGCTAATAGGTTTGCTAGATTTCTCTTTAACGTCCTTGCGCCGGTTATGCAGAATTAATCGAGATAAAGTGGCCTATCATAACTTCTTAAAAATCAATTTAGTATATTCAGCCTTTAAAAACAGACCTGGAGCCGAATTTAGACACTTTTATTCGTATTGTCCCAATTCATTGAGTACTGCATCTCGTTGACTTAATTGTCAGCGGGGTCTCATATATTTTTGAGATTCGCATTGTGTGGTCCTCGCCCATGATGGTGGCAACTTGGCATATTCTGGACAGCATGTTCCGACACACAATGCCGCTCCGTGCCTTGCGCAGTCTGCGTACGGCCCAACACGCATCCTTGAATATCTAAATCAACAAAACAACTGTATGTAAGTTTTGCGCATTCTTACGGGGGCCTTTTAATTGATTATTAATTAATAATATTATACAATTTTTTTAATAGCAAGCACGATCACAGCCGATGGTAAATGAATTAAGCACATTTGTAAAACAGTGACACTAGAGAAAGTATATTTATAGAGATACAACCATGAGCACGGTAATGCTCACCATCGCCGTCCGCTGTATCCAGTAGGGCACTTGCAGTCGTATTCAACGGATCCCCCATGTCGGCGTTCAGCCCGGGACGAGTAGTCAGACATACTCCACCATTGCGACAGGGGTTTGGATGACAGTAATCTGTAAATATAGATATATCAGCACGGTGATCAACCTGATAAAGGACTGTGCAAATGCAGGTAATTATTATTGTAATTGTAAAAAGCGCGGTTAACTGGGAATGATTCTTATACCTTGACTTTCATAATGTTCACAATGCCTGCCGCTGTAGTCACGGGGACACTTGCTGCAGTAGTAGTCAACGGATCCCAGCTGCGAGTCTCCATACGTTGGACGAACTAGTCAGCACACTCCGTGTATTGCGAACCAGAGGGTTTGGATAACAGTAATCTGTAAATTCAAAAACATGACACCTCAGTGAACAAATGAACGGACAATTCGTTGGACAAGTTATTCATTATACAAAGCCTGATTAAATCATGTTACGATTGAGAAATATAGTAAATACGTGTACGTGGTTAACTAGGCATAACTAGAATTACCTTGAGGTGGTTGATATTTCCACTCTTTTGCGCTGTAGCCATGGGGGCACTTGCAGTAGTTAGTCAACGGGATCCCAGCTGCGCGTCCCAGCCGTTGGACGAAGCTAGTCAGACCACTCCGTCTGATTGAGACATGGGTTTGGATAACAGTAATCTGTAAATTCAAAAACATGACACCTCGGTGAACAAATAAACGGACCATTCGTTTGACAAGATATTCATTATACAAAGCCTGATTAAATCATGTTACGATTGAGAAATGTAGTAAAGACGTGTGCGTGGTTAACTAGGCATAACTAGAATTACCTTGAGGTGGTTGATATTGTCCACATCGTTTGCCGCTGTAGCCATGGGGGCACTTGCAGTAGTAGTCAACGGATCCCAGCTGCGGCTCCCTCGGAGGACGAGCTAGTCAGACACACTCCGTGATTGAGACAGGGGTTTGGATAGCGTAATCTGATTAAATTCAAAACAATGACACCTCAGTTGAACAAATAAACGGACCATTCGTTGGACAAGTTATTCATTATACAGAAAGCCTGATTAAATCATGTTACGAGTGAGAATGATAGTAAAGACGTGTGCGTGGTTAACTAGGCCTAGACTAGAATTACCTTGAGGCTGGCTGTGATATTGTCCACATCGTTGTGCCGCTGTAGAGCCAGTGGGGCACTTGACAGTAGTAGTTCAACGGATCCCCAGTGCGGTCCCATCCGGAGGACGACTAGTCAGACACCACTCCGTGATTGAGACAGGGGCTTTGGATAGCAGTTAATCTGTAAATTCAAAAACATGACACCTCGGTGAAAAAATGAACGAACCATTTCGTTGAACAAGTTATTATTATCCAAGCCTGAATTAATTAATGTCACGATGAGAAATGTAGGGTAAAGGACGGTGTGACGGTGGTAACAAGGCTATACAACTAGAATTACCTTGAGGTGGTTTGCATATTAGTCAAGTCTTTTTTGCCGCTTGTAGCATGGCGGGCACTTGACAGTAGAAGTTAACGGAATCCCAGCTGCGGTGCCCAACGGAGGACGAGGCTCAGTCAGACACACTTCACCATTGCGACAGGGGTTTGGATGAACAGTAATCTGTAAATATAGATATATTCCGCACGTGTTGCATCAACACTGATAGAAAGGACTGTGCAAATGCCAGGTAATAATTGTAATTTACAATGCAATATAACCTATTTAATTTTTTAAAGCCTGTTCAACGGAATGCATTGCTTATACCTTGACTTTCATAATCTTCACAATGCCTTCGCCTGGAGTATTGGGACACTTGCAAGTAGTAGTCAACGGATCCCAGCTGCGCGTCCCAACCGGAAGACGAGCTAGTTTCAGACACACTCCGTGATCTGCGACAGGGGTTTGTAACAGTAATCTGTAAATTCAAAAACATCGAACCTCAGTGAACAAAATGAACGGACCAGTTTGTTTTGACAATGTTAGTTCATTATACCAAAACCTGATTAAATATGTGTACCGATTGAGGAAATGTGTAAATTACGTGTGCGATGGTTAACTAGGAATATATAACATAGAATTTATCTGACGGTGGTTGATAATGTTCATCGATCTTTTGCGCTTAGCCATGGGGACGACATGCAAAGTAGGTAGTCAACGGATCCCCAGCTGCGGTCCAGCGTTGAACGAGCTAGTCAGACATACTCCCCTTGCGCAGGGAGTTTGCGATAGCAAGTAATCTGCTAACAGTAGAGCATGTAATCACGCACTCGGTTAAAAATAACAATTAAGTAATCTAAGAAGTTATAGCCAAACATGTGATATCAATCTGTATATGTTCAAAATTGAGGACAGTGCTATTATCAGGGTTAATATATGACCAAATGTCTGTCAAAATGTCTGTCAATGTCTGTCAAATTGTTTTGTCATTATAAACCTGCGTATTACGTATGACGCGTCGTTGTATTGAAAACTAGGGTCTTTCCGCTGATTGCTCGTGAGAGCTATTTAGTTTGCGATAATCACGGCGGTCTTCTGAACATGGCCGTCAGGTTATTGTTATTAATGCACATGGTTACGCAGGCTGATCACCCCTATATAAAAAAGTTATTTACATGCTATCATAGTATCGGCCGATATATATATATATATATATCATATATTATATACTATAGGTATATACTATATATCAGAAAAAAGATAATAAAGGAAATTTCCTATTATCTACCGTCTGTATGGTCTAATGGCTAACTATATTGATGTCTTACGAACAATTAAGTTATGTAATATCACCGTTCTGTTTCTACGAACGTGGTAAAAACTAGGGTATATCTATTACCTTGACTTTCTAATGTTCACATTGCCTGCGCCATGTAAGCACCGGGGACACTGCTGCAGTAGTCATTAATCGTTCGCACAGTGCGGTCCCAACCGGGAGACCAGCTAGTCAGACACCACTCCCGTGAATTGCCGCAAGCCGGGGTTTGGATACACAGTCATCCTGCTTAAATTTCAAAAACATGACAAACTCAGCATGAACAAATGAAACGGAACCATTGTTGGGACAAGTAGAGAGAGGGGGAAAGAGAGAGAGGAGGTGTGTGGTGTGGTGCGCGTCGTGCGTGCGTGCGTGTGGTGGGTGCGTGCGTGTGCGTGTGCGTCGTGTGTGTGTGTGTGTGTGTGTGTGTGTGTGTGTGTGTGTGTGTGTGTGTGTGTGTGTGTGTGTGTGTGTGTGTGTGTGTGTGTGTGTGTGTGTGTGTGGGTGTGTTACTGTAAAATAAAAATTCAATTCGAACCTTTGATCAACAGTTTACATTGCTCCACTCGCTCGACGTTTTCATTTAATTTTAACATACATTCCATCGAGCTATAACTATGTGTACCCTTTGACACGATTGATTTTGCTTATGGGTCATTACCTCGGATGACGTCATGACGTATCACAGGTCTATGGTCATACCTCCTTCCATATCCACCATCACGAATTCTGCTGAAGACACTGTCATCAGCGTATGTCGCGCCTACCAATAGTAGGATTACTAATATCTTCATTTTCCTGAAATTTCACAGATAAGGTGTTTATATATAGCCACACACAATCACCATGATCGATTTATGGAGACTCTCGGGTTTAGAGAGGGTTTATTTATTTATAGAAGTGCCACAGTCTATATGCTACTATTTTTTTATTATCACTTAAACTTATCAGGTAAGACTTTGATAATATTTTCGTTAGTATCTACTAAATACAAAGGATCTTTTGTTTATTCTATAATTAGTATACTCGAGTATACTAAATTGTTGAATAAATAAGAGATATTTTGTTACTTTTTTAAGGCTATTATATATATCAGCGTCTTGAGTAAATAAATCTTAATTACTCGTGGACATTGCAATCTGTCAATGACCCTACTGTATACACGTTACTAACAAGTGCATGCCTGATAACACGATAGCATTAACATACCGGCGATCATGAACAATAACCTGAATTCGGTGCATATACGATATTAACAAACCTTGATATTCCTTCCTCTGATTCGGCAGCAGATACTTTTTAGCGCGTGGTTATGATGCGATGTCGGCAACGACTATAGACGGCTAGCAGCGCAGAGTTTTTTTTATATAATAGCGAGATGTTCTGCATGGACGAACATCGCCCCCTAATGCACGTCACGAGCCTTGCTCGGGGACAATAACAGCCACCAGCCTTGCACGAACACGGTTTCTCGGAATGCAACGATGAAAGGTAACCCATGGTGCTACTAACAGCACGCGCGTCACGACCTTTTGAATGCGACAGCTCTAATCAGGTTTAGTAGATCGGTGATTGGGCTTTTGCCGCAGACACTCGAAACGAATTCGCGGATCTTGTGCCCTGCCACGGAATGGTACCGAATAGTTCAACGACAAAGGTTCAGAAATGATATTATAGACGGTTATGATATTTCTGAAGGTCAATCAGCAGCGGAATTGCGCTGCGAATGTACCGCGGTCTGAACGAAAAGTGAATGACAAAAAATTACAAGTTATTTACCTAGCTCAGAGCAGCGCTCTTTCTCAGAATGAACATGATATCACCACCAATATTAACTATATAAACTATAATAGTCATAATTATAATAATTATAAGCCTAAAATAAAAAAGTTAATTATAAACTTAAGTATATAAGAGCATATTTGCTCGAGTAAGAATTATATATATACTATATATATATAATCTATATATATATACTTTTATCAGGAGTTAATAAAGACAAACTGCTTCGTTTAATTTTGTCTTTATATTAATCCTGTTTATATATTATACTATAATAATATATATATATATATATATAGAGAGAGCAGAGAGAGGGCAGAGGAGAGAGAAAGAGATGGAGCCGCCGGTAGAAATAGATACAGAAAGACAGAGACGACGAGAGTGAGTGAGAGCAGAGGAGCGAGAAGAGAGAGCAGAGAGCGCGCCGGCAGACCACGACGCAGAGGGAGTTTAACAAAAAGAGATCAATCACACGAAGGGCGAGGATTAGGATGGGAGGGGAAATATGATGCAAGCACTGCGGGGGCAGAGGGTGAGAAGGGGATAGACGTCTCGAATGATCGGGAAAACAGCGATCCTTACCGCGCGTGAGTGCTGAGCAGGCCATGAAATGAAGATATATTATTACATGTGTGTGTGTGTGTGATGTGTGTGTGTGTTGTGTGTGTGCGTTGTGTGTGTGTTGTGTGCTGTGTGTGTGTGTGTGTGTGTGTGTGTGTGCGTGCGTGTGTGTGTGTGTGTGCGGGTGTGTGTGTGTGTAGTTCTTTTAACGGGGCGTTACCGGCTCACAGTTTTCGTTACACAACTAGAAATTTCTAATATTTAATCCTTGTGTATAGTTGCTGAGTGATCGATCAGTATATATATAGTTACTGATTGATAGTTACTAATGAAAGAACCCATATATAGTAAGCTAGAAATGACGACATAACTATCTGGCATGGTAAGAGTACATACTACTACTCAGGCGTCTGCGTAACAATATTATATAAATCACTTGTATACTAACTATCACTAACGAAATATAATATCCAGAGTAGATAATAGAGAGTACTCTATTATGTACTCTTGATAATATCACTTGTATATTGTTTCTACGTACAGGGTGACCCAAAAAAATGCAACCCAAACAAGTTTTAATAACTTTTTTGATATTGATGTGAACCCTTTCATTTTTCAGATTTAAAGAGGTGATAGTTGCCAATCAGCATTTAGAATCAAGAGTTTTTCAAGATGCCTTGCGACTCTTTGACAGAAATCATGGTCCGTGAAACGTACTTTTTTGACCAATCGTTTCAAACTGTACAAGCACGTTTTAGAGGGAATTCAATTGCCGCACCTATCCAAACAAAGGACTCATTCTAGATGGTATATGCGTTCAGCGGGCATGGGATTGTCAGGAACCTCAATGCCAAGAGGTATACTGCCACACACTCAGCTGGGAGACAAAAGAGCGCAAGGACAGAGGAGAACATCAACCTCAGGCAGGACCTCGCGTTGGCCGCAGTCAAAGAAGTCGTTATGTTGGCGCAGCAACAATTGGGCATTCGATGGAGTCTTCTGAGGAGATTTTGATTCAGGATCTGCATTCGTACCATAGGATAGAAATTAACCATTAAGCTGACCCAGATATATTCTCCTCAGAGAGCGCCTCGGAATGCCCAATTGTTGGGTGGCGCCAACGTAACGAATTCTTTGGACTGCGGCCAACCGACAGTCTGACTGAGGTGATGTTCTCCCTCTGTCCTTGCACTCCTTTGTCTCCTGAGGTGTGGGAGTATTCCCTTTGGCATTGAGGTTCCTGACAGTCCCATTGTCCCTAAACTTCTGTACCATCTTAGAATGAGTCCTTTGTTTGGATAGCGTGCAGCAATGAATTCCCTCTTGAAACGTGCTTGTACAGTTTGAACGATTTGGTCGAAAAGTACGTTTCCACGCACCTATGATTTCTGTCGAAGGTCAAGGGCATCTTAAAAAATCTTGATTCTAATCTGTTGGCAAACTATTCACCTCTTTAAATCTGAAAATGAAAGGGTTAACATCAATATCAAAAAAGTTATTTAACACTTGTTTGTGTTGCATTTTTTGGGATCACATGTGTTCACATGTTTTCACCGTTTTTATAGGATATATAGTTATTTTCTTATGCGCATCCGCAGCATCTGGCAAAAGCCTTTAATGAGTAACCGCGCTCACATAATTATGTAGATTTAGTAAGCCTGCATACAGCTCTAAATATACAGACGATTGTGCTCCAGCGTTGGGACGCAGATGGCACCTTATCACCTTGGCCGACCATTGTCAGTGTTCTATCAGTGCTCAAATGCGTATAAGACATTCGATAGAGAATGGTGTACCGCCTCAGACGGCACTGCATGAATCTGTCGATTGTTTTCCACCAGCGTTCTAGGGCTAGGAAAAAACATCAAGCGGGCAGTCAAGGATTAGGCACCTAGTCTCTATATTGATCTGCAGCCAGTGTCTCAACCTCGCTAGCCACTTTCCTTGGTGAGTGTAACGGTTCAAAGAGCAAGTTAATTGCGTCTAGTGACAGTAGCATTTAACTGCTACATCACACTAATCGTCCCCAGTTGCACGTTTTGTCGCCTGTGACAAAAACACTGTAAAGCACCAATGGATATATACAAGAGCTAAATTATTATTAGAGGTATTATTAGCTCTTGATATATACTACATATGCCATTAAGCTACAAGGCGAAAACTGTTATTATTACGAGCTAAAATTCATAGACTTGTTTAATTACTGATCGGCCGGATTTTCTAGGAGGATTTATAAAATGGTCATATATAATTATGACTTTTGGGCTAAAATAGACAAAGAAACAAGAAGTTTCGAATCAGCGAGTGAGCGATAATTAGCGAAGTTTCGAATATATATTGGACTTCGGATATTTTCTTGCATCGAGACCAACGTCATAAATAGGTGCGAAGAGTGCGTACGATATAGTATTGCGACCTGGAACACCACACAAGCACACTTGTTTTGTCCCTATATGAAACGAAGCTATGCGCGGTGGACCTTCAGGCATGCGTGTTATAAATTTAGCGAATGTTCTTTGTAATTTTTCCGATGTAGCTGCGTATGTAATGACGTCATGAGGTGTTCGTGTAAACACGCCTCGGGTCTACGCAGCATGGTAGTACCTGTTTCTCCCCCCCTCTCTCTCTCTCTCTCTCTCCCGCCTCCCTCTCCTCTCTCTCTCTCTCTCTCTCTCCTCTCTCTCTCGCTCTCTCCTTCCTCTCTCTCTTCCTCTTTCTTCTCGTTGCTCTTTCTCTCTCTCTCTCTCTCTCTCTCTCTCTCTCTCTCTCTCTCTCTCTCTCTCTTCTATCTCTCTCTCTCTCTCTCTCTCTCTCTCTTCTTTCTCTCTCTCTCTCTCTCTCTTCTTTCTCTCCCTCTCTCTCTCTCCTCTCTCTCTCTCTCTCTCTCTCTCTTTCTTTCTTTCTCTCTCTCCGCTTTTCTCTCTCTTCTCTCTGTCTCTCTCTCTCTCTCTCCTTCTCTCTCTCTCTCTCTCTCTCTCTCTTCTCTCTCTCTTTCTCTCTCTCTTCCTCTCTCTCTCTCTCTCTCTCTCCTCTCTCTTCTCTCTCTCTCTCTGTCTCGCTCTCTCTCTCTCTCTCTCTCTCTTCTCTCTCTCTTCTCTCTCTCTCTCTCTCTCTCTCTCTCTCTCTCTGACTACATGGTGGCTGTTGGTGGTTGAGGATGAGGGAGGGGCCACTCGATAATTGCTGTTGGCTGAAGCGTGAAACGAGCGGACGAAAATTTTCGCTCAGTTTATGTGAACGTGTTCGAGGAATCCACGAGGCAATTATATACGTCTCCATCTGCCACTGCCAGTCACCGACATAAGTGCTGCTCCGAGAATCGCAACACGCCTGTCACGACTATTTCGCGCACGCACGTACGCACGCACGCGCGTGACGTCATAGCCCCGTAAGAGAGAAAAGTTGCGGGGCAAATGCCATGTTTGTTATCGACCGCTTACCGCTTGTGGTACATATAAATGTATCAGGAGTTAATGAAGACAAATTAATTTTGTTTGTTTGTTTGTTTGTTTGTTTGTTTGTCTTCATTAACTCCTGATATGTATACATACATGCTGGAGCGTACTCCAAACATGCACTTACAGACACACAATATTATCAGGAGCGTCATAATATGGATGTTTCTAATGATGTGTCTGATGATAGAGTGTCATAATCTATATTATGACACTCCTGATATTATAATACACCTAATTATGTGAGAGCGGCTACTCAATATAGTGCAGCGAATAAGCACACAAAAATTGTGTACTTTTGGTTGGAATTGTGAAACTTTGCACACACCACGCGCGCACACGCACACGCACACGCACATGCACGCACAGGCACACGCACCCGCACACGCACCCGCACACGCGCACGCACGCATACACCGCGCACGATGCACGCACACGCCACGACCGCACACGCGCACGACACGACACGCCACACGCGCACGACACACACACGCCACCCACGCACACACACACAACACCACACAACACACAACACACACAACACACACACACGTACACACACGCGTACAGCACACGCGCACGCACGCACGCACGCACGCCAC